ACTTTGGTGAAAGGAAACTTTATGTTTAATTACAATGAGATACTGCCACAGACATGTTTTCATATATGCCAATATGTAACACTGATGGTAGATGTTTCTTTAGGTTAAATATAGTAATGGGTAAAATAATACAGAGATACTGAACAGTGTAAAATTTTTACTTAAAAATACCCTGCTAAGTAATTTTTGGGGGTGTGTGTGTTTTACATGAAGACATTGCTTAAGTAGGTTATAGTCAGAAGGTTTCCTAAATCTTAAAAAGAAATGTCAGGTCATTGTGTTACACTAGCAAGTTAATCACTCCAAACTTACTGCATAGACCGTTGTCACAGTGTCCAGGGCAACTGGCACAAGGTTGTCCTTTATCGTAAGGTTTATATAGTCTCGAGCGAAAATTTCCACTGAAATTTGAAATACAAAATGTCAAATACTTTTCATTTTTCTGTTTAACTTATCCTGGGGGTTAGCATGAGTCTCCACATATACATGGGTATTTATTAAGTCTTTTTTACTATGACAAGTAAAAAATCTAATCAATGTATTCAGATAACAATGAATACAGAATAATTCACACATTTACCCACTTTTTGACCATAATCTTAGAATCTGAGCAACTGAAACAGGATAACTAAAGTCTAAAGTTTTAGAGTCTATTCCAATGTGGCGACACTCTCTTCTCTCAATCGACTTGGTCAAATTCCTAAGACAGTGCACTGCAAGGTGCTGGCTAGGGATAAAATGTATCTCCTAGACAGTAGAATTTTCTGGAGCACAGGAGGTTGCAAGATGAAAAATAGTACTTAATGTTAAATGTAATTTTATAATTGAAATTAAAATATACCATAATTTCTATAAGATGAACTAGACTATAACATGGGTAAGTAAAGCTTCAGCATAAATTTTGCTTTTTAGATGGAGTCGTGATTTTCATGCAGTTTTTGGTGTGTGTTTCTGAAAGGAGGTTGTACTTTGGAAAGTTGGGGGTGTCTGGAGGTGGTGGATGTGATTTTTTTGTTTCCCCAAAAATGAGAATGCTTAAAAAAAAAAAAAGTGTTTCATGAACTCCAATCTCCCGGGTGCGCTGGTCTTACAATGACTAGCTATACCTCACTGAGGATCACTATCCTGTTAGTCATTGTCATCTGAAAATACACGGGAGTCCGACTCTTGATCCCCCAAGTTGGTCAAGGATCCAAGGCAATGCAGATGAGTATCTGTGGCCCCACACAGAATTTCTCCACTTGGAGAAATCGTGAAACAGATATGAAAGTGTCCTGAAGTTCTTTCTGGCCTGCTTGCTATTATTCTTCATTGCCACTGTCACGTCAGCCTCTGCCACTGCCTAGCTCAGATGCCCTTCTGTCACGGCCAGGTGCTTGGATGCCGTCTCCCAGGGCCTTTCATGTTTCTCTACTCAACACCAATAGGTCCTTGCTGAAAAATGACTTTAAAGGTCAGACCTCACACACTGGAATGCGTCTCACCTGGGTTAGCTACAGCCTCACGATAAATCATGCAGGAGGCTTAGTGTGGAAGGACCCTTCTGCCTCTAGGAGTGGATAAATTCAAATATTAAAAATAAAAGTAAATTAAAGCTACCGTATATTTTAGAAATATCTTCAGTTTACCCGCGGGCTGTGTGTCTGTCTGTGTATGTGAAAAGCTCAAAGTGACTGCTTGAGGAAAGGGTGTATTTCCTGCAGGAAAACCAGGATCACTGAGAAATCAAGATCTTAACAATGGTTCCTTCACAGTATTTTCCATGAGAAATTCTGAGAAGCAAAGACTGAAGATATGTTTTCCTTGCTATTTGAAATATAGTAAGGATCTCTTGAAAAGTCTTTGAGGTCCAAGATTTAATAATTTCTTAAAGGTATGATATGGGTTTTTTATTTGTTTGTTTTCTTTGAGACAAGGTCTCATGCTGTGTCCTGGGTAGGGTGCTGTGGTGTCACAGCTCACAGCAACTTCAAACTCTTGGGCTCAAGTCATCCTTTGGCCTCAGCCTCCCGAGTAGCTAGGACAGTGCTCACCACAACCCCCAGCTAGTTTTTCTATTTTTAGTAGAAATGTTCTGGGTAGTCAACAACTCCTGAGCTTAATCAGTCCACCTGCCTCAGCCTCCCGGAGTGCTAGGATTACAGCTGTGAGTCACCACATCCAGCTGTAATGTGGCATTTTTTGATGAGTAGGCGTAAGAACATTTGAGCAGAAACATCAGGGATCACAAATATCTGTCATTTCCCATTGGTTATCCACTTTCTCCTCTGGCCTAACTGTGAAGCTTTCACTTTCCAGTATGTGATCCAAGCAAATCTAGAGAACGACAGACCCCACATACTCTTGAAGTAGCCAGAGCCTTTCCCTAAACTTAGGGAAGGCCAGTGAGAGAGACACAACTCACATTAGGCCTGAGGAAGGAGCGCTTCCTACCCAACAGGACTTGGAACTGAATCTGAAAAGTTGATCTTTCTTAGAAGCTGGCAGAAGGTGTCTGAACTTCAGAAACCTTTCTAAACATTATCTGTCTCTGCTTTACTGAAATATGCTTTTTAGCCTGCTGTTGTATGATAATTTAAAAACACTAGGTTGGCATAGTGGCTAATAAATGGAAGTGTATACTTACGCAGGACAATATTGGCAAACATAGTAGTGTTTTAGAGCTTGATTGGGACAGTAGGCGTATCCACATCCAGCGAGGTAAGAAGAGTACCAGACAACCTGTAAACCGGAAATGAGACTCAGAGTGCAGTGGAGAAAAAGGAAATACCAAAAAACAGACAGCAGGAAATGAAAACTGAAAAGAATGTGAATGATATACTTTATTTTCATCTGCCTTATCAATAGATTAAGTTATTGAGTCTAACTAAAATTGTAAAATATTATACTTCCACACTCATTCACTATGTTATCTATTAATATTTAGCCTGTTACGGAATGTATTTTCCTTCCAAGATCCTCCAGGCTACTGGAAAATGGCAACATATGGGTGAAATACCCACCAAATAGTAGGTTATTCTATATTCACTTGAATTCTTTCCCCAGAGTCATCATTGCTATCAGTCAGAAGTCGGAGGATTTTTTTTTTTAGTTTAAAGAGCACTTATGGAAGCGGGCTTTTCATTCCCTCCCTTTACCTGAGTATAATGCCCAACCACCGCAGAGGGTGTCTTCGGCCCTACTTCAAAGATAAAGTCACGTTCCTCATTGTACCACTCTTGGATTGCTCGGGACCACGGAGTGGGAACACTTGACATAAAGAGATTCTCACCACACTTTAGATCTAAGAAGAAACAGATCACTCATGAAGAAAGCCATAATGCATGCAATGGCAAAATGTGATAGCACACCCACGCAGACGGTGCTCAAAGTTGCTGAGTTTTCATTTATTTATAAGGATGGCGCCTCAGATCCTTACAGGGATAAGATGAATGGAGACCAGATGTATCCAGCACAACGGGGCTGGCCTCTTCACATTGTACCCCATGATTACATTAATGTACACAGCTATGATTTAATTAAAAAAAAAACTTAGTGGCCAGAGAAGTCTTCTCCCTTAGCTCTCCACATGTGTACACCTCATGGACTCTCCGCCTTGTGTGGTGAGCTGGCTGAAGGGAGAGATCAACACTGTAATTTCTCTCTTGTTCTAGACTGTATTCACTAGAGATTTTCACATGTAGGAATCTGAATATATGTTTAGGATTATTATTTTGTGTGATCTTTTAAAAACTTCTTATGCTTCAATCTTTAAGAGCAAAGAGCCCTGAACATGAAGCAAAAGATTACCACAAAGAACAATATTTTCCAAATTTATGGGTCTCCTCCAAATCAGCAAATCAGAATAGCTTAGGCCAAACAACTCCACAAAGAATTAGTGGGAAAAAATGCCTTGTGGCCTGGAAACATTTCAGAAAATTTTTTCAGGCCCTGACATTAATATTTACATTTAGATCCCTAGAAATGCAATGATCACAGAGCATAAACTACTCCAGAGAGCATAAACTACTGACAGCTCGTTTCTGTGGGGGGGAAAGAAGCTAACATTTTAATATTAGATTATCTTTAAGATTATTTATTTCAATCTTTTGCTAAATATAGTAACTTCCTTTCATAATTTTCGTATAAATATTGTGTCAAAAATATAAAACAATGGCGGGCATATCTTCCAAACAGGCCGTTTATTTACTACTTTCAAACTGGGTTTGTTTTTACCTATGTTATTTTTTATACTTTAATACTTTAGTAGTTACTCTATCTGATATTTTATCTTGATAAAATATTTTGTGCTGGTGATTCTTAAAGTTAGAGATAATGTTTTGGAGTCTAATGCAGTATGCATTCTAGGTAGCCAGAACATATAAAAGTCTTATTTTGTGGTCAGGAAAAATTAAAAAGTAAATAGTGAAAGCAAGTGCTAATGTGAAATATGTTTAAGTAAAATTCAGAAACAGTTTTAGGACATTGAACATAATTTATAACAACAACAGTGATTGTTTTCAAAATACAAAGAGTATCACAAAGAATACTGGTTTAGGAGTTAGAAATCCTAATTTCAAGTTTCCTATATATGTCCTTACTTGACAATTATTTTTTTTCTATACAGTTGGTTTTCTAATCTGTGTCAGTACCATGTGCTAACCCATTGCGCCACTGGATGGTTTTCTCATCTTTAAAACAGGGAAATAGATGTTTCAAAACCTGCTTTATCCATGAGCTGGCTATTAGATAAACACGTGACATGAGGTGAGACAATTTTTGTAAAATATGAAACAGTACGAGGTGGTATTTCTGAATTTCCCTTCTTATAGAGACATTTCAACTTTAAAAATGGCAGCGTTAGAAGCAGCATTAGTTTACAAAGTTTTCTTAATGCAACGTCATAAAATCATCCCTTATTAGTTTTTCTATTCCTTTATTCAACAAATATTTTCTGATTTACATACGCTTGCTGGTTTTTCGAAACTCTGAGTTGCTGTGTTTGTGAGTGCACTGGTTTGCCCACTTTTGGGCATTGACTGCGGCCTCACTACTCCATTCCTAAAACAAAGAGAGAGAAAAATATGTCCACTGCACAACTCAGACCTCAAAGGAGGATTAGCTTTATAATCACAAAAATAGGTTGATTTAATCATCATGAAATTTCTGTAGAGGCACCTTCTGATTTTCAAATACATATATGTATATATAAATATATAAAAAATATGTAAAAATATATTTATGTACACATATATATATTTGGTGTGTGTTTTTCTGCCCTATGTGGAAATCTAGATAGTATGCCTACTCTAATTGAAAAATCTTAGTTTGTGGTCAGATTATTTATGAGAGCACAGTAGCAAACTAAGAGATTTTTAATAATGGGCCTACTCTGAATACTGATAAACGTGGGGATATCGAGATTCTTTTTTCCAACAGTAACTAGCTGGCCTACTTCATATCTGATTCCTTTATTCCCCCTCCCTGAATACATTTGGGATACATGCGGCCTTTCATACTAGACACAGAAAAGCGGACTATTATTTACCTTAAATGGCATTGATTATAAAGGGAAAAGGTATTGCTGATTCTAGATTAGGAGAGAGAAGTTAGTGAGCAGAAAAACATAATGGCTTTTTGCTACGTGTACGATGATTTGATTTTAATTCTGCCTACGTGACTTACGTAGCCTTATAAACTTGACAACTTAGTTAACCACTGCAAAGAGAAATGAAGCAATTGTGGCCTGTCTGCTCATAACACAGCGCCAACAAAATAACAAAACAGAGGCCGAGTTTTGCGGAGCACGATGTCCTTAAGAGATACCAGCGGGCCGCTGCCCGCCTTTTCCACGGCTGGTTCACACCCCTTTCTTTACACGGCTGCCACTTACCATCTTTAGCATGTTGCTGGCAGGTGGAGAGACTGATCTCCTGAATTTATTGTGTATATTTATAATCTCGCTTTGTACTTGGATATGGTTGGTTAACAAAGTAGTAGACTTTGAATCCTGAAGGAAAATAAAAGTTATAATTTATATTTTAACATTTTTAAAATTGCAAATACAACAAATAAGATAGCTGGAGGGAATAATAATCATTTAAAAAGTGTTCAGTTCAAGCCAATATTCGTTGGTAAGTATTGCCAATGAATCTGAGCTGATGCTAGGACTTTTTAGTATAAAAATAGTAGGCTGAGGTTTTTGAATGGCTTTGTCATTCATAGCTTGACAAACTGAAAATGTATCTGAGGCCACAAATGTCAAGAGACGTCTTAATGTGATTTTTCTAGAAACATGAGCAGTAACATAATGATAAAGATAAACGAGAGAAACCATTAAGTCCTGTGCACTTGGTCGGCAGCAGGGGAGTGGTGATGGCAGGGCATGGGACGCACCCAAAGTTTGAGAGAGAACTACCCCTGACCTGTTGTCTAGTATTTATAGGAAGAGGACTTCCTATAAGTATTTATAGGACTCAGCTGAGGCTGAGTCCAAGTACATGTATAGCATTCAGTAAATACTCTATCAGTAAAACTATTTTATGTAGCAAATTTTACATCATCACTCAAAAGATAGTTTTTACCACACACACAAAAACTCCCATGTAATTTAGGGAAGTGAAATCATTCAGTTAATGAACTACTGCTAACTGTATTTTTTATTAACTGAAATGCAACTTATCACAGTATTAAAGCATGTGGTCATATTTTCAGTTTATATTTTTGTGTGTGTAGATCCTGGAGAGTGGAGTGGGCTGTGTGAATCATTGGCGCAAGAGATAACAACAGTTTGCTTATTTGAATTTATACAAGAGCATGATGTATAATACAAATGAGTAAGATTCTGAAGTCTAAAGGGCAGGGCCCCTTATAGATTGTTATCTGACACCTGGGGGTAAGTTATTCTTCCTCCTCCCACGCTGAGGTCCCCCAGGCTCTCCAAGTCCTGCCAACAGAGATCAGTCACACCACATTTTATTGTCATTATCCACTTCCATCTATTTCCTCCTTCTGCTTTTACATCTGTTCCTAAGGACAAAAACCATTAGTGAGTGCGATCATACCAATAGATCTGGCACAGCGACGGAGTCCTAAATTAGACAGAATGCACATGCTAATTATCAGTACAGCCCCATTTTGTGTAACATCAAAGTATAACTTCTTGTTATTGACTTCAAAAAATCAGCTTAGTTTTATTCCAAAAGTCATGAAAACTGATTCAAGAAAAAAAAAGAAGAAATTATTTCCTGCTTTTAGCTCATCTTGCTGAAGAAGAAATGCATCATTTTCATAAATGAGTATCAGTGGTGCTTTTATTAGGTGACAAGAAATATAAAAAGTATTGCCATCAGAATGGATAAAATATGGTATCTCTCTGGCCTTAAAGCAGCGGTTCTCAACCTTCCTAATGCAATGGCCCTTTAATACAGTTCCTGTGGGTCGCAACCTACAGATTGAGCACCGCTGCCTTAAAGAGTTTATATTGGACAAGTGATATGACATAAATAAGTACTCACATTGCAGTTATCACATGATAACAACCTGATAGGAAGGATCTATAAGGTTAAGAGGTAGGAGGGATCAATTCTTGTTTGAGATCAGGGAAGGCTTCACCAAAGATAAGTCTGGATCTCTCAGGCACCTCACTTTTTAATAATTTTATAAATGAAGATAAAGAAACAAACCAGAGAGGTAATAGGGGATTGAAAGTGTTTTAAAATGCAATTTTTTCTAGGAAAGAAATAGAAAGACTACTTGAATGAAGCCCTAGGTGATGAATAAATTGTCTCCATGTGGATAATTTGATTATGGTAACACAATTATCATATTTCTAAATGCCGAATGAGACCTGAACCAAGTGTCAGAGATCTCCAGTCTAAGGAGTCCTTGCTAGTCTGATGTTCCAGGAGTTACAGGAAGGCACGCGATCTAATGGCAAAGACCAGGAGACAACACTGTGTATGATCACGACACGCCATCCTTTGAATACAATGATTGACCCTGTTTCTGAGATTATCAGAGCAAAGTAGCATATTAGAAATAATTAAAGCATTTGTCTCCTTCATATACTTATTATAAGAGAAAAACCTTGATGCCTTTGGGAATTGTTTTTTTAATTTAAAAACAAGCCTAGTATTCTCACACAGCAACTATAAAAAAGTAAATGTGGTGAGTTATGTAAAGACATTGGGCCACTTAAGATTATATAAAAATATAATTAGTTTTCTGTGAGGGAACACTGAAATAAGTGAAAGAAAATAAAATCAGAAAAGGGATAGGGAAAGGAGTCGTTTCATTAGCTTTTAATCACATAGACCTGTGTTGTCCCATAGAAATACAATTCAAATGTCATATACAATTTAAAGATTTTGGTGGCCACTGTAAAAAAGAAAAAATAATAGATAAAATAATGATTAATAATTTTTTTATTTAACTAGTATATACAAAATACAGTAGACCTTCTATAGTTGACCACCTCCTTAAATTGACCTAATCTTCATAGACCCAACATGCACCACATGTACATGTCAGTACAGTAGGCCTGGTTTCCTATGTTGACCACTTCTGTATGCTGGTCAGTTTATTACAGTTCCTTGAGTGTTCAACTTACTTAACGTTATCAATATTAAGCACATTATGGATATTGTACCTTCTTCTTTGCACTAAGTCTTTAATGTATGCCTTATATTTTAAATTTAAGCCCAACTTGATTAAGATAGGCCATATTTCTAATGTTCAATATTCTCATGTGGCTAGGGGCTCCTGACTTGGTAATTACAGCTTTGAAGATAATTATGGTAACTATGCTGCATTACCAGTCAGTATTCTGTGATGTGCTAGACCACGCTAGCCCTCTCACTTTTGGAGATTGGTCTAGTAGCTTGCAATCTCTCATGGTTGCCTGAGTTTTTCTGAAAAAATTCTCAATCTTAACCATACCTCATATCCATTTGCAGGAGAGGAGGGAAGCAGCCCCACAGTCAGGAATAGCAACACTGGGAATAACGTCATTGCTGGAAAAACAAAACAAATGGAACAAAGACCTAAATGAACTTCTGAGTGACATGTGGTAGAGGTGGGGGGTAGGGAGAGTAATGATCTCCTCTCTGTTGTCCCAAATTCATTAGCTATGCAACAAGATAAGACTTGTCACGTATGGCCTGAAGAATGACAGTGGACCCAGCTGCAGAAGTGTGCCTGTGATGAGAACAAGCTGAAGTACTTGACTGAAGCTGTGACGCTCAGCTGTGAGTGTTAAGGGCATACTACCCCTGTTGGCCCTGGTCCCACAGTCTTACCGCATAGCTCCTCTCTTCAGGCTCTAGGATGGCTTCTTTCACATCGTCCACCCAGGAAGAGTAATAGCTTCCAACGACTGCAATTACTGCAGTGCTATTGCATTAACTCTTGCTGGTTTCCTTAAATCCTACCCACACTTTATTCGCATTTCTTGAAATTACAACTTAGTATTTCTTTTCTGTCAAGTCTCCACCTTCTACACTTGTCATTCTCAGAACCCTGGGTACATCCTCTAAGAAGGATACACTTTCACACACCTAAACCACTCTCTTCAACTTGGCCCATGAAGCCATTGTTTTAACTAATTCCCCCTCAAACCTTATATTTAACACTATGCCTCAAACCAGAAAAAGAATTCTTCTTCTGGATATTAAAACAATAGATAAGAATTTGATTTCTCACTTTTAAGAGATTACTATCCCTAGTTGTATTACTATCCTTAATATGTTCACACGCTTTGCCTCACTAATTCAATTTGTTGTAATCCTAATAGTAAACTATTTTGGAAAACCTTTAGGCATAACCTTGTCTACTGATTATTATTACTTATAAGGGTGGAAACATAAATTAATTGTATATCCAACAATGGAGACATAAAATATCTAAATAAATTAGCATGTATGCTCTTATTGTAGTATTTTATATATAAAAGCCACTATACATTTATGGTGGTTTTGTAACCTAAGGAAAATGCTTATGCTTCAAAATTAAGTTATAAAAAAAGAATAGCAAATAGTACATGGTAGATTCTAAGCCTTTTGTTATGGACTGAATGTTTGTGCTCCCCCAACCCTTGAGACCAAATTCTTATACTGATGCCCTAACTCCTAGTGTGCCTGTATTTGGAGTTAGAGTCTCTAAAGAAGTAATTAAGGGTCAGTGAGCTTATAAGGGTGGGACCTTCACCCAATAAGATTAGTGTCCCTATAACCTTAAAAGAGACACCACAGTACATTCTATTTCTGTCCACCCTACCCTGACACAAAGAAGCCATGTGAGGACATAAAGAGGTCCTCTGCAAACCACCCCTGCTGGCCCCTTAATCTCAGAATTCTAGCTTTCAGAATTGTGAGTAAATAAATTTTTGATGTTTCAGCCACCCAGTCTGTAATATTTTGTTGTATAGCTCAAATAAACAAATGCACATTCTCATAGCTTAGGGTCAGGTTATTTTTGAGTAAGTTCAAAGGTCTATAATACATAGTAATTTGAAATTCTCTGGAACTGCAGATTGCATTCCTGTAGTATGTTCAGGCAAGGCAGTGAAGGAGTGATTTCTGACTATTACCCAGCATCCATATCTCAGCGTTGCCATGTCTTTTCTCACTGATGTATGACCAACTCTATGAAATAGGTATTTGGGGCCAGTTTTAAGTTAAGTGCTAGAGGGGACATTTTATTACCTGGTGGTATTGATGACCTTGGGATCATCAATGACCCTTGGGATTGATGACCTTCCTTGATCTAGGAATTCTTACACTGTAAATCTCCTAAAGGACAGACGCAGAAACTGGACCTTAACTTCTCCTCCTACAAAACACGTGACCAGACACACAGAGAGCAAGGAACAAATGAAACTAAACAGAAATACAAAAGAATGAGCTTCTCTTCATTTGGTAAGATATTTCCTTCTCTGCAATTTCTATAATGAGTCTACATTATTGCAATCATAGTAATTCATAAAGGGAAGGACCTTTATTAAAAAGAGATTAATAATTCTTGGTAAAATGCTTCTGACTTCACTACATTTATTACTTCAGTTACTTTTTTGCAACTCAGTGAATCTTGTAGCTTAGGCCTTATGTTTTTTCAAGGTCAGAGAAAGATTGGAAGCCCAAAGCTATTTAAAGACCTCCTGATACTGGATGGCAAACATCTGCTAGATTACTGAACACATATTTGGGAAAATTAGGAAAAATAGGTACAATATTAACAATTAAGTCCATTCTTTCCTTTGTCCTTTAAACATAAAATATGTCCTAAGACTTGGAGAGCTCAGATAATATATTCTTAGGCTACCCAGTTTAAGTTAAAAACATGGAGAAAGTTAAAAGTTGAGTTAAAAACATATTCTATTATGATGACTTTTACTGATTATGCAATAATTTTGAAATAATGGGAAACTTTGTGGCTGCAGGGCATTTCAATGAAGTAGTCTTGTCTATTTAGTGACTAGAATGAGAAGAGGAGAAATTAGAATCAGAATTTATGGACTATTCCTATAACAAATAAAAACTATACAGATGTTTCTATGATTGTTAGAAATGTAAGGTTTTCTATAGATGAAGATTTCACTCAGCAGTATGAACATTCTGACTCTGTTTATACTGTAGTTTTAGAGGGGAACAGAGGAAGAGGCAGGACATGAGGATGAAAATTTTGAAAGGAATACTAAAAGGAAAAACATGGAGAAAAATGAACTTATTAAGAGTAAAGCAGATTCACAAATTTAATGTGATAAGGAGGCCATTTTGTGTGTGTTTTAGAGTTACCTGGCCCCATAGAGAGCAAAATTAAGCTTTTTCCCATGGCAGGATCATCAAGAAAGCACACTCTAAGTGTTAAGATGTCCTAACTCTATTCAGGACAGTCTTATTTACACCTTCATATCCTTCTATTCTATTATGCCCTCTGATCATGTTAATCCTCAAATCTGGATTATAGAACATCTTTCAAGAGCATTTCCAAGTCACCCTCCCCAAAGAAACTCACAAGATAACAAACACTGACTTTGTTCCTGGATAGGATCATTTAACATTCACACAACCAATTTTTGATCACACGGTATCAATTTTCAGATTGATGTGTAGTATCTTATTTCTCTCATTGTTTATGTGCATCTGGCCTTTTTGCATAACTACATTTTGAGTTTGAGAAGATTAGACTACCCTCTTCACAATCCTTTAAAAGCCTTCTGACAAAGGATTATTCATTCTGTGCTCGCTCAGTGGTTGAACTGCAGAGACTTTCCAAATCTCCAGATAGCCCACTTGTAGCCTTCTCCCTTGCACATGTACGTAAATGTGGCAATGGCCTCTAGTCATCCTCATGGGGAATTTGAAAGCAAAGTACAAGAACAGATTCCTATTTTCTTTGCAAGTCAATTAGGTAGCATTCACTCCTTTAACAGACATTGAGGAAGATTTCCTCCTCATGCACACGATCTCTGGTATTGTGCATTAGACATTGCTGAATGTGATGAACTGAACCAAGCATGATTCTTGCTGTCAGAGTCTTAGTATATCTGTCGGAGAGCCCATCATTCCAGTAAGAGAGTGACCTGGTTGAATTTTCTCATGTATGCAAATGTGAAGGGTGAAAATTTATTTTCTTTTACACTGACCCTTTCCAGTGCTTTCTGGAGAGAGATGGAGAAGAATCTAGCACACCTCAGGGCTCATGAAGTAAAAACTTTAAATAACCCACATCACAAAGTGCCAAAGCTGCAGATTCTGAAGAGGATGTTGAGAGAAGGGAACACTTTTATAGTGGTGATGGGACTACATAGTAATACAGCCTCTTTGGAAAGAAGTATGGAGAATCCTTAAATAATTCAAATTAGACCTCCTGTTTGCCTGCAATCCTATTACTAGGTATCTACCCAGAAGTAAAAATATCATTTTATCATACGGACATTTGCACTACACTGTTTACCGTAGGCCATTTACAGTTGCCAAAATGTGGAAACAACCTAAATGTCCACCAGGAATGGATTGACAAGCTGTGGCATATGCATACCATGGAATACTATTCAGCCAGTAAAAAGATGGAGGCTTGAGGTAGTGCCTGTGGCTCAAAGGAGTAGGGTGCTGGACCCATATGCCAGAGGTGGTGGGTTCAAACTCAGCCCCAGCCAAAAACTGCAAAAAAAAAAATAGAGGCTTTACATCTTTTGTATTAACCTGGATGGAGTTGGAACACATTCTTCTTAGTAAAGCATCATAAGAATAGAGAAGAAAAATCCAATGTACTCAATTCTAATACGAAGCCAGTAGACAATCTAATGCACATCCACATAAGAGTGAAACTCTCATCAATTCAAGGTGGGGGAGGGGGACTGAGAGAACAGGGAAAGGGGAAGAGAGAGGGGGATGGAGGTTTTCCCTCTTAATGGACATAATGTTAGCATTTATGGCACACTTCTTGGAGGCAGGACACAATTATAAGAGGGACTTTATCTAACAAATGCAAACATTATAACCTAATTCTTTGTAACCTCAATTAACCTGAAACAATAAAAAAAAGAAGGAAAGAAAAGAAAAAGCTCAATTCATCCTCTCAAATATAATAAAAACATCTAAAGTTAGAAAAGAAAAAATATCATTCTATCATAAGGACATAAGCACTAGATTTTTTATCACAGTTTGATTTACAATTGCCTATTGTGAACTTAAATGCCTATGAACTCAGGAACGGATTAACATACTGTGGTGTACGTATACCATGGAATACTATACAGCCATAAAAATGTTGGAAACTACCTTTGTATGAACCTAGATGGAGCTGAAATGCATTCTTCTTAGTAAGTATCATGAGAACAGAAAAGCAAGCGTCCAATGTACTCAATACAATATGAAGCCAGTAGATCTAATACATGCCCACGTAAGAGAAAAATTCAATTCATTTCAAGTTGGGAGGAGGGGGAATGAGGGAGAGGAGAGGAGGGAGGAGGGAGGGAGATTGGTGCTCCCACTTACTGGGCACAATGTGAGGGTATATGGCACACTCTTGGGTTTGGGTCACAATGACCAAAGGGACTCTACTTAACACATGATAACATTGCACCCTAGTTGTTTGTGCCCTTATATTAACCTGAAATTAAAAAAATAAATAAATAGCTTAAATAAAAACTTCAAATGAGGTAAATGTGAAAAAGAGACATCAGCTAAAAGACCAAAGCATTTGTCCCCACCATGCCCCTCTTCCACAGGGGCAGCTTTATTTTTATTTATTTATTTATTTATTTTGAGACAGAGCCTCAAGCTGTCCCCCTGGGTAGAGTGCTGTGTCATCACAGCTCACAGGAACCTCCAACTCCTGGGCTCAAGTGAGTCTCCTGCCTCAGCCTCCAGGCACCCGCCACAATGCCTGGCTACTTTTTGGTTGCAGCCATCATTGTTGTTTGGCAGGCCTGGGCTGGATTCGAACCCACCACCTTAGGTGTATGTGGCTGGTGCTTTAGCCACTTGAGCCACAGGTGCCGAGCCAGGGACAGCTTTAAATAGCAGGTGCAAGTGGCATCTGATTTCTTTGAAGTCCCATTTGGTAATGTCACACAGAAGGCATTAGAAAGAATTAAGAAAAATAACTTCCTCTTCCTGTGATTGCCTGCATGCAGACAATTTCCAAATGTGTGCAGCTATACATTTCCTCTGCCATTTCTTAAGAACAAACTTTTAGGTTTCTTTTAATTCATTTCTCTGAGTTACGGTGCTCTCTGTGCAGATCACTGAGCTCCCCCTTTAACATGGTTTTCTGTAATACCTTCTGAGTTTTTCCTTTTGCGAAGAGATTAGTAATTTCGCCTAGATGTGGTTAGAGACAAGCCAAATCCATGGATTTCAAGGATTTACAATTTCAAGTGTTGGTGGTTTCCTGAGGCATAAATGCATAGGGCACAGACAAATTTGTTCCCTCTTCACACAGGTGTGAGATAGGACTACCACTAGGTTGAAAGCACTCACTTGAAAAAGAAATAAAATATTTTCTCAAATGACATGTCCCTGCAAATTAACTGATGAAAACATATATGTATGAAAATTATACAGACATAATTAACCATAATAGTCCACTTTGTGGAAATAAAGATTTGAAAACTATAAAAACTTGCTTAGCTGCTAATAGGAAAATTCATAAAATGGTTCATTTAAAAAGCAGGCTTTTTGGCTTTTATTTCAATCAGAGTATCAAAATAGACAGGCTTCTTGTTGTTGCCCCCAAACTCTGAAAGAGTTACAGAAGCTAAAGAAGAACAGGGATTCCAAGAGAGTACCAAAAATAAAGAAGAATAAATCTGAGGAGAATAAATTCTCACATGACATCTAGAGTGTGTGTGTGGGGGGTGTGTGTGCTTGTTTGCATACATGCAAATGTGTGTATGTGAGTGATTGTGTGTATGTATGACCAACATGAAATAGAAATGCTGTGTCCAGGGACAGTGGCTGGCCTAGGGTGTAGTACAAGCATTGCCTTTTAGTTCCTTCTCTTGCCTGAAGACAATCATTGATTCCTCTTTATTGCAAAATTCTGCAGCAAGAGACAGAATTGTTCTTGTGTCCTATGTCAGCAAGATAGCATCAGGGAAACGTTAAAAACCGTCCAATGTGCAGACCAACACTCTGTAAGGCTACGGTCACACCTATACTCCTTTGCGCCACTAAGGCGTGTAATTATAAACCTACGTGACTACTTCTTACCAGTGCTGGTTCTTCCTGAGGTGTAACCTGAGGAATGGCAGTGAATGGAAATGATCCCAGGGTTGATTCTTATAACAGATAGGAATAATAGTTAACAACAGACAGGCCCAATTCATAGGTGAAATGCCAGAATCCTAACAAAGCATTAACTGATCAGTTTCGAACACACAGTGAAAGTATTATGATCAAGTAAAGATATATCTGGACCGCAAGAAGGATTTGACATCCAGAAACACTGGTGAAATTTATCACATTAATAGACTAAAGAAATATCACATGTCAGAAAATGTTACTAAATTCAATCCCTAAATATAGCTTTTAAAAAAGAACAGAGAAAAATAGAGATCCTTAATGTGGTAGCAATCACATACTATGTATCTGTAGCAAATATAATGGTTACTACAGATACTCTAGGTACATTCCACTTAATACTGGGGACAAGAAAAGAGTGATTGCTATTATTGTTTAATACATTAAAGTATCGGACAGATCTTTAACAAAGCCTTAAGATAAGAAAAATATACAAGATAGATTTTACATTTAAATTACCTACATAAATATGGCTGCCTGAGTAGATTTAATTAGAAAACATAGACAACTCTTTTCTTTCTTATTTGAGTGCATTTCATGGAGTAAACTGCATTCTGTGCCGATGACCTTAATTAAATATTTTTTTGTCTCAAAGTCAGTGCTGTAGTTTTATTTTGACCAATTTAAAACTCTTAACAATGGCTTTCCATCTTTATTTTAATACTGTCTGTATCAATACCTAGTTATTTGTGTTATTACTGGTTACTGATATGGAAATTACTGATATGGAAGTATGCACACACATATTGCCATAGTTTTTTAATTTTTCTATTAAAGATAGTTGCAGCATAATTATTTACAAAGACCAATGACAGGTGAGGTAATTATATTAATTACTTCAGAATCAAAGGTGATAAATTCATTGAAATATCAAATAGGATGAAAATGCTTTAGAAACAATAAAGCTATCTGTATATTAGCTTTTTCACTTAAAAAGAGTATATTAATACAATCACTCTCACTGAAAGTTATCAATAGAGTTTTGCAAATCATAGGTAAATTTATTAAATATATCATTTTACTACTGACCAGGTATAAATACATTGACATAGTAAAACATTCACCTTGAAATAAAAATACCTATTACTTACCTGTAGTTCTCAGAGCAGGATGAAGTAAATGTCTTAATCTGTTGTAAGAAGGCAAGCGAGAGACGGAAGGTTAGAGCCCTATATATGAAGTATTCATTTCCTGTTTCGGCAAACTCTGGTTGTGCAAGTAAATCTAAGTCAACAAGGTCTGAACCAGGAGTCATCATGCCAATAGTGTCAAATTTCATTGCTAGCTGTCTAGCCACGCTATTGGCATTATTTTGTTATTCCTCACATGAATTTTAAGAATAAATGGCTGTATAAAATTTTGTTATTTTATATTTGTTCTTTGAGGCTCATATATGGGTATAATTTACCCATATTTTTGACAATCAATACTTTGAAACTTTTTAATCAAATTATTTTCATCAGAACTCATGAGAACTTTTAGAGTTTTTAAAATTAGTTTTGAGGGGGTAAAGCTAAGTTTATAATTCCTTGAACTACAGAGAACACAATGTTTTTTCACAGAGACCTAAAATACTTGTGAGTAATCTCTAGACATTATTGTTCTGGAGAATAATTTGATCTTTTATCTTTTAAATTCAAGGCCAGAGTGCCTTTCACAACACAATAGCAAAAGACATCATAACTTGGTAATATTTCTAAGATCTCCTATATTAACTTCTATTTTCTGGTTACATGAAATTCAACATAACATACTACATTTTTATCTTATGATTTGTCCTCCATTTATTGGACTGACAGATTGACCTTCACATGATCTCATTCTTCTAAGACAGCTGCTTACAGTCACTTTTGTCCTCTCATCCCCCATGATTAGGTTGTCTTTTCTGCATTTACCACGGCCATTGTTGGTCCTTCCTGATCCATTTCTCCCAGTTTTAGCAGTAAGTATCTTCCTTACCAATGTTATTTGGGTATCTAAAATCTATGTGAAATGGGGCAAATAGTTTGTTGCGTATATGCATTTAAATAAATTGCAATTGTTCTTCTAAGGAGTGAAACTTGAGAGTTTCTTAGTGACCATCGCTATATTATTACACCCTGCTTGAGGAATGTGCCTTTACTTCTTGAAATTGTTCTTTTATTCCTTTGGTTTGACCAGTACACTCTGACTAGCAATAACATGAATCAATGAAGTATGGCTTCCGTCCCTCCCACCTTCTTTCTTCTTAGATACAATAGCCTCTGGCTGCTGCCTTTCTGGCCTTTCTATTGATTGGTTATTGTAAAGGCAAGTAGGATCCTAGGGACCTCTCATAACCCAGGTTTCCATGACTTTTATTCAAACCACTAGCCTACTGATTAAAAGCACAGTCTTTGCAAACTGCCAGGTCTTAGAAATCCTCTCTGAGATTCAATTTTCTCTTCTCTAAAATGTATATTTTCATATAATAGGTTGGCTTTGATGACCAAAAGGTGTAATATATGTACTCAATATATGTAGTATAATTAAACTCTTAATATAATGTTTAGAATATAAGACTCAATAAATAGAACTATTACCATTTTTATTGTTAGCCTGGTATTTTTTGAGTATTTAAAATATTCCCATAAATGCATTTTCTTGATTGAGCTGCTTATTTAGAAGTCTCTATGAGAGCTTTTTTTCTTCTTTTAGGTGTCATAGGAAAGAATCAATATATTTTAATCACAGATTCTATGAGAGACCATCAGGGTGACTTTAGTAAAATGATAGATTGTCGCTTGTTCTTTGTAACCTTGCCAAGACATTAAAGGGCATCGACCCAGGTGCATTGTAGAATTAACATACGTTTATGTTACCATTAATTAACAGTGGTTTATGAATAAGTTGTTGTTTATTGAATTATCCCTTGATATAATAGTTTAATTTTGTGACATTAATTTCCAGGTAAGACATATTTTGTGTCCGTTTATTTCCATTGTTCTTATTTCCTCAGTCTCTGTGTTAATTCCCTAATTCCTCTTGTCACTCACATACCTAATTATGTGAACAGAATACAGTGAAACCTGAATAAGTTGACCACCCCAAGGCACTATAACAAACTGGTTAACATATGATATGGAGGTGGTCAACATAAGGCACTAGGCCTGCTATCCTGATACACACATGTGGTGCACATCTGGTCTATGAAAATTAGGTTAACTTCAGGAGGTGGTCAATGTAGGGAGGTGGTCCACCAGGGAGGTTCTAATGTATCTGAATTGCAGATTATTTAGGTGCTCTGTCTTCAACATATGACCCATTTACACACACACATGTGTTTAGGTCAAGTTCTCTAAAAGCAGAGATTGATGGCCTGGCATGGTGGCTCACACTTGTAATCCTAGCACTCTGGGCAGCAAGGCGGGTGGATTGCCTGAGGTTGTGGCTTCAAGACCAGCCTGAGGCATGGTGCCTGTGGCTCAGTGGGTAGGGCGCCGGCCCCACATACCGAGGGTGGTGGGTTCAAACCCACCCCTGGCCAGTTAAAAAAAAGAAAAAAGAAAAACAAAACAGCCGTGACAACCGCAACAACGACAAAAAAACCCAAACCAGCCTGAGTAAGAGTGAGGCCCCATCTCTCAAAATAGCCGGGTGTAGTGGTGGGCAACTATACTCCCAGCTACTCAGGAGGCTGAGGCAAGAGAATTGCTTGAGCTGAGGAGTTTGAGATTGCTGGGCGCTCTGATGCCACAGCACCCTACCAAGGGTAACAAAATGAAACTCTGTCTCAAAATAAATAAATAAATAAAAAGCAGAGATTCAGACACAGATTAGATTGTCTGTGTCTTATTGAGGAAATTCACAGCAACAAAAAGCTGTAAGAAGGGGAGCGAAGCAGGACAAGGAAGGACAAAGAGTGAAGGGAGACTGTGGTCTCCAGCAAGATCTAGTGGCAGTGCTCCAGGCACCCTTTTTTACCTATGTGGAGTCTTTGGAGCTATTCTCTGAGCTTTCTCCCAGAAGAACATAGGTGCTCTCCATATGATGTCATTATCTGTCAACATGTGGAGCCAGACCGTAGCAGGAAGGGGAAGTCAGCAGGTGCAGGCCACAAGCAAACAGAGTCTCACCTCCTTCCAGAGTCTTTACCTCCCTTCCTTTATCAGCTTTTTTTTTTTTTTTTTTTTTTTTTTGAGACAGAGCCTCAAGCTGTCCCTCTGGGTAGAGTGCCGTGGCATTACAGCTCACAGCAACCACCAACTCCTGGGCTCAAGCGAGTCTCCTGCCTCCGCCTCCCAAGTAGCTGGGACCACAGGCACCCGCCACAAGGCCTGGCTATTTTTTGGTTGCAGCCGTCATTGTTGTTTGGCGGGTCCGGGCTGGGGATTCGAACCCGCCACCTTAGGTTTTTAATGTGCTTTTTTGTTTTGCTTATTTACTTACAACTGATGTGATTCTGAAATTTTGTTCTTTGTCTTTTCTTGTTTCTTTTCTTTTCTTTTCTTTCTTTTTTTTTCCCCCACCAGACTGTCTTGCTCTGTTGTCCTGGGTAGGAGTGGGATGCAGTGGCATCATCATAGCTCACTGCAACCTCAAACTCCTGGGCTCAAGTAACCCTCTTGTCTCAGCCTGGGCAACAGGTATGCACCACCATGCCTGGCTAATTTTTTTTTTTCCTGTTTTTGGTAAAAGAGGAAAAAAAGGTCTTGCTTTTGCTCAAGCTGGTTCCAAACCCCTCAACTCAAGCAATCCTCCCACTTCAGCCTCTCAGAGTGCTAGAATTACAGGCATGAGCCACCATGTCCAGCCTCCCAAAATTCTTTAAATTAGATGGGAAAACAAACTTTATGTTGTAAAGTAGAAAAATACGAGCTATGAGGAATCAGGTAAAAAGTGGCAAGTGATTGCTGCGGGTGAGAGGCAACCCACCCTGACTTATTAACTTGCAAATGTTACCTACCTGTGACCATTTGAACCCTAAGATTTCTGTTATTGGTTTGGTTCCATCTCTCTTGGTGTAGACCTAGAAATGCTAACTGTTGGGTCATTGGGTAGCTTTAGAAAACATTGTCATTGTTTTCCAAAGTAAGGGTGCTAATTTACATTCTACCCACAATGTGTGTTTCAATTACTATATTCTTGACTTTTCCTTTTATCCTAGAAGATGTTGAGAAAGATCTCCAAGTTAAGTATTAATATCAAGAGAGAGGTTTTATTTGTTTATAGAAAAAGCGAGTGGCTGGGTAAAGAAAATACTTGCCCATCCTCTGTCCACTTTATTAGCATATATGGATTCATTTGCTAAGTGCAGCCTTCGCTTAGCAGACACTCACAGGTCACAATAACCACTTTATAGGACTTTTATGGTTATATTTCCTAATATAGTAGAAAAATTCTTCCCTAATGAGATTTCCGGAGAACTCAGAACAGCTAAGTGGGCCTCTAGTATCTCACACATTACCTCATTCATACTGAAATTTCTTAACTTTGAAATTCCCCTAGGCAAGAGCAAGACTGTTCATCCTCCCAGTAGACTAGGGTAGCATGGACAGCAAATATGCGTTAAGCGGTGAATGGATAAGCCCATGAGTTTCCTTTGATTTTTGACTCGTTAAATCATTTCCTTATAAATAGCGTTATTAATTGCACAGGTTTTGTCAGACTGAAACAATGTTTGAAAGCATTTTATAACAATATAAGTTCAAACTAGATAATATAGAGACCTCTGTAAAATGTTTCACTACATGAAGCAATTTCATCCACAGTAAAAAAGGGAAAGTGAGGCACCAAAGGCAAACCTCCCAGAGAGTAGTATTTTGTCAAGGGAAGGTTCTCTTTATCTGTATTAAAATAATGTAGAATTTTTAACATGAGAGCCTTTGCTCCTTCTGATATTCACGTCTGAAAAGTTACAGTTTTTAACTCTACGTTATCTTTCTTATGTCCAATTAACTTCTAATCATTGTGATTTGAATCTTAGGCTAAGATAGAGAGCTTTGGGTTGGATTGAGTAAGAGTTCCCAGAAGACTTTCTGATGTTATTTGAAAGTCCCAGACTTCCTTAGGAACATTAGAGTCTTTTCCATGATTATAACCAGGGACATTCTGTGGTCCTCTTTTCTGCTATTTGGGCCCTTTGTTTCTGAAGTCTGTTACTTATAT